TAAGAAACACTTAAAACGGTCAGTATGGGAAAGTCTGAAACTATAACAACTTGACTATTAATACCGATACCGACTGTATAGGTATTAACAATTAATTTTACTATGAAGCATGATATCTAACTAAAAGAAGCAACAATTGAGATAATTTAACGCAACTAAACAAGTTGAATGTTGTATTTAAACAAATGGTTATAATTTTGTTATGTTATGTTATGATGTTTCATAGTAACATTAACTGCTTAAGACATACACAATCGGTATCTAAGGAGAAATAATATAAATTTGATTTTTCAAAACGTCCTTCCTCCTTTCCCGAACTGTGTACTATTTTTTTTACCGAATTAATGCAGTTCTTCCTTCATCTATAATCGATGACATCGTCCAAAAACCGATCTTTGACCGTTCTTAATGTTACAACCTGTATAGTAGGATTCTCAAATGAAATATAGATTATTTGTTACTATACGGCGTAAATATACATAGCATATTATCGATTATTGTGTAACATTATAAAAATTTCATTGTTATCCAAGTGACAGACAACATGGAGCATGAACTTTAACAGAGCAGTTATTGAAGTTCCACGCTCCATGGTGTAATCGTTAAGGCAATTAAGATCTTGTGCCGTGCTCCACTTGTGAGCTGAATAGCAGATGTCCCTAGTGAGTGACGTAGGTCACTGTTGACTCAACATTTCATATTTATAATAATCTGATTTTAAATACACATACATCATATTTTAATATTTACTTGCCGGTCCCGCGATTTACCCGCGTGAATTATAGCCGCGTATGATATAACTTCCCATTGGCGAAAGAATATTTAAATCTGATCAGTAGTTTTGAATATTCCTATACGCTGCTGAACCGTGAACATTGAAAGAGAGTGAGAATAAAAGATAGACGCCTTGGAAATATGGTACTGGAGAAGAATGTTATGGTTATTTTAGACGGAATACATGACCAACCAGTCTATCCTTCAGGAACTCAGGATCAAATAACGTCTATATTCCGGAGTACAAGATTGGATTGTCAATATCTTCGGGTATGTCTTGTGACGGAGAGATATGTCTGGTGCAAGAAAATGTGGATGGCACGAGACCACGCAGAAGGTCTCCGATGCGTTGAACAGGTCAAATGAAGGCTATTTAAATGGTTTCATATACGAGTTTTCGAGGAAAGCAACCATCCGAGACGAGTGATAACGATTCATTTGTTACAAACCCTCAACAGACGTCCACTCTGCCAAAAGTATAGCAACTAAGAAGAAGAAGAACAAGTTTAGGACCCTATTCGATCGATGTAAAGAAACAATCTAATCTTACCTCTTCATAATATTAGTATAGATTATGACAACGTTAGTATTTTCCTATTCAAAACTGTGAAATTGTCTATATAAACCGTATAGTATGTCATCAACACATTACAAATGATCTCGGCCTAGATTTTAAAGACATCTAGACCGAAAAACATTAATTTCTCTAATTGATAATAATACTCTCCTACATAATGTCCGTTATCTAATTGGATCACATCCTCTAGTAAAACGTACGAGTAGCATAATTGTTTATCAGTATAGTCTAAGTCCAGGTTTTAGTAGCGTAGCTCACTCACATATTTATTCCCATCCGACCGACCGGCCTATGTCCAGCAGTGGGCGTCGAATGGCTGATGTAATAATAATAACTTGCCTTTTTGCTATTTGTTTATCTAGTTAATTATGAAAATGCCTATTTTTATTCACAAATATTAAGCATCTTCATAAAATTCTATAAATCAATGGATAGTTACCAGAACCCTATTAAAGTTGGATCGTTTGGATGATGAACACGCTGGTCCTTAGAAGACACTTGCTCTGCACATTCCGAATGTTAAATAGTAGAGCATTTCAGCGAAATTTGACATAAAGGCTAAAGGCAAAATCTTGATATGATGTTAGTAGTTTCACACAAAACCGGAGTTATGAAGAGTGGTTGAAATAGGAGGTTACTATTAGAGCGAATGTTGCAATGATATATTTATCTTTCCAATAACAGGAATGATGTCTGGGTAAAAAAAATCCTATTTACTCTGTCAGTATCATCATAGAAAAATATTATATACTAACATTATTTTTTTGCTTCCATTTTACAAGAAAAGGCTTAGATAAATAGGCACTAAAGTTAAGGAGGGAGGGCGGGCTACATCACAACTATGTAACAAATGTCCAAAAAATGACGTTATCCGACATTTCAACTCAATGTATCGTCGTTTTTATTGATTACGAAAGATTGGAGGGTATTAACGACTACAAATGCAGCCGGAACCGACGGCTTAACGTGCCTTCCGAAACACAGAGTAGCTCGAGATAATAATTTCTTGGTCACCCATTCCGTGACCGACCATTGCGAAAGTTGCTTAACAACAACGCAGGCCGCTGCGCTTATCCACTACACCACCGATCTACTCAATAAGTATTAATTCCTCTTTATGTCAGTATATTTAAATTCGTGTCCATATATAGCTGTCACAATTTCTCTATTATATTTTTATGGCAGTGATATTGTAATTGACGGACGGAAGGACCTAGTTGCCCCAGTCATTAGAGCTAGTTGGCTTAACTGTGCTGACAAAACATACGACGGTTGGCGACTATTGATTGATAATATCAATAGATATACTTCAACAAAATAAATCAAATCTTAGCGAAAATTTTATCAAAAAATCTCGAGAGGAATCTCATTTAAAAACGAAACTGTTCTAAATATGTATAAATATTTAAAAGTATGTACTCTAAAATTAATATATATTTCTTCAAACACACTTTTCATATTCCCATTTAGCTAAGTTTTAATATGTTTAGGACTTTTCAAGTATATAATAAAAAAAGCAAACTATTTTAAACATAAAACAAATCTAATTGGCTTCTATCAACAAAATATCTTAAAAATGTGAATAAATTAAGTTATTATCACAAACTGAACTGTTTTTAACATTAGCTAATTTACTACTTGTAGGTTTCGCACTTTCTTACAATCCTTTCATCTTCACCGCAGAACTTATACGCTTCTTTTGGTTGCAGGCCCTAGAATTCCTCATATAAATGCCTTTGTATACAACATTCTGAAATTCGACAATTCTAAGTAAATACAAATTCTAGAAAACAGTTTTTGACAAGACTCCAAAATGCAATTTTGTTTAAAATCGGATCGCGCTCCGGCTTAACGCAGCTGAACAATAATGATGCTAAGTGACTGGTTAATAGAAAACCTCTCGTTAAATTGACACTTATAACGTCTGCGGACAATTCGTATGTCAGTTCATTCATTGTAGTGACGGGGTCGGTGACACTGATAAATCCAATCGCCACTTCCTGCCTGCAATTGACGCGCAAATGCATGCAAAACTAAGCATTATTCAGAGATCTAGCTTACTAAGTACCATCTGATATAAGAATTACGTCTGTGATAATAACAATTTTCGTTCAAACATTACTAAGAAAAAATCGTATTTTTAGAAAAATATTACTACAGATCTACCTTTGCAATAAAAAAAATACTCTGTTAGAAAGAGTTCTTAGAAATACTTAAAGACTAAATAACATGAGTTCAATGACAGAAATAGACAAAGCAACTTCATTTACTTTTTTATTGTGTATTCATGTTATATATTTTTTCTCTTATGACTATTGCCTTTCATTGTATGACATTAAAATAGTAAATTTTCTTTTATACTGTTTCCTAAAGGTCCACTTGATAAATAGTTAATCAAATAAAAAGAGAATCATTTCAATCCGATGTCCAATTTACAAGAAATACGTGGACAAACATATATATTTACAAAAATGTAGCACGCGTTTTTAGAAGTCCAATAGACTAACATTGCGCTATTTTCCAACAGAATTATATACTCGTATATATGCACCTCGAATTGATAGCCTCTTTTTTGAAGTCGATTAATTAAGTTAAAACCGGAATAGCTTTTATCCTACTATTAAGAGCTTCAACAATGCTTTTAAATAATTTAATTACATGATGATTTAATTAAATGAAGAATATTTGCCTTTTCAAAATAAAAAATAAGTGATATTAAGTATGAGTAGAAGGGTTCGAAGCTTCCCATACAACTATTTATGTTTAATTATTTTAAAACGATCTAATTAAGATGTACGCTATTATAATCCTTAAAATGACTTAATCAGACAATCGAAATACGATATCACTTAAACCACTCCCAGTTGACATTCATACGTCAACCGGTGCTATTGAAATCTAAATAGTTTCTATTAATTCAGCTAACGTTCCCCCATATGGAGTGCATTAAATGGATCGTAATGGTAGGGGATATAGGGTCAACTAACTCCCACAGAAGCGCGAGAAGGGGACAAGCTAATTGTCAGCATGGGACTATTTCATAACAGGTCGACAAAATTAGAATCATAGTTTCGTCATAGTTAAATAGTCTAAACAATATAACTGCAGCTATGTATTGAAGACTTAATGATTTTATCTATATTGGTATAGTTTTCTAAAACATTAACACAGCGAAATCGTGAAACTTTACCATGTGTGTTTGGGGTTAATATTACTGATGCTTACATGTGAAAATAATCTATAGATTATGTCATATTCCCTTATCATCAATAAATAGCCATATTTACCTTATCATGTAAACATTATCACCTAAATCAAGTCCTGTATAACTACATAGTAATCTATTATAGGATTCAGAAAGAATTAAAAACCTTAAGGGAATGACAAAGTTGGAAAGAGAGATTAATCTATGTCAGTCACTACTGATAAGAAAGATTTGACTGCCATATGGTCTGAATAACCTAGCCTACTTAAAAGTAATAGATTCTAATAATTTAATTCGTTTTCAGGTTGAGTGTCACAATAGAAGAACGAAATAAGTGAAAATTATTCTACAACATTGATTTTTGCAACGGTGTTAACCAAAACCAGTGAAATGTTAAAAAGACGATAAGTAATTAAAGAAAATGGGTAGGTAGTGTTAATAAAGATGGTGTTGATGATTTCGCAGCGCATGTGGGTCGAAACCCAGCCATGGTTCTTGATAACAGTAATGATGGTTATGATGGTGGTGGAGGTGATGGCGCTGAGCGGCACCAACGTGTGCATGGTGAAGCAAAAGTAAGTACAACACGCACACGAGCTACACGAGATAAATTTCTGCAATAGAGTTTTTAATTCAACTTTCAAAAACTTATGATTTTATAGCCATTGACAAGGCATTTTGTAGAAACCTGACACGCTGACTGTTACTAAATAATAGACAGTGCATAAGTTTCTTTCCGAAACCAAAAACGATATTTTTAAAATTATAACATTTTAATGAGTGACATAATTTTAATGAGACAATGTTAACATCAATTATTAAATAGCTTCCTCAAAGCAAACCAATGATGCTCCATCAATACAATATCTCCAACCTCTAATCAATAAACCAATCAAGCATCTGTCTCATAACACTGTAGTAAAGATATATGTGTCCTGTTGTTTTTTATTTATTGTACTTTTTAGTTCTTTTAGTAAATAACCGTGTTCTTGGGTTCTTGTAATCATGCTTTTATTTTAGACTTTTTACTCGCATTTAGAATAACTAAACCAACAGCTACCTTCACCAATGTCATTTCCCAAGCGTTTACGTAGTGATTTCAAAATTAAGAAAGAGAACGTGTCACGAAGTTTACTTTAATAAAAAAACACACACATTTTTGTGAAGCATACCATTGTTTACACTAACATGCCATTAGACAAATTATTTTTATATTCTCATTTATTTCTTAGTAACATTTTAAATTATTTTTCCGATCCAGTAAAATATAATTTCCTTCTTCAGATATAACATTACGAAGCGCATCAAATATCGTGCTCCCATGTCAGTCAGGACATACGAATGGTGCTTCTCAATGCCTCCGCGATGCTCACGTTGGAACACCGAGATGAGGGATCTCACAAGGCTCGAGGTTAGTAGTGCCACAATTCTTTAAAATATAGCTTTGTTAATGTCCTGATTCCGAAGCACATTTACTCCCCATAGAAACAAACAGAGTTACCATTTAGTATCGGTCATTGAGTGCTAATGACTACAAATATACAGGAAAAATAACGGCTTGATCTTCCAAAGCATAGAGGAACTCAAGATAATACTTTTTGGTCACCCTGATGTCTATTGCTAACAGGACGCGCTGGCCACTGTACCATCAAACATTTGTTACACAAATATCTTTCACATTCAAGCAGACATTAAGATGCATGTTCGTTCGGTTACCACAGCACCTATAATAATAGTAATTCCATTCGCATAGATTCTTATACTTGCGTGGCCTCTGATGTCTACATCTGGGTATATCCTTGAGTAAAACTAGATCATCGTAGAGCCCCTCTCTCAGTAATGTTTACTGTACATTCCTATGCTATAATTATACTGTAATTAGAAACGCAATGCGTTAACAGGTGTCAAGATCGATTTATTACTTGCGAATGCCGTTATGAATGTATCATTTGTTTTAGTTCATTATTTATATTTTGAAATAATGTTCAATATTTTAATATTGAAATTAGCCACAAGAATGAAAGGTTCAATTCAAGCCAAAAAGCTTACGTCTCATATGAGGAATTGCTGAGTACCTACATTAAAACTGTGAGCATGTGAAAATATTGATTTTCAGATGAGTTTTGTCAAAAAACTGTCTCAGTGACAGTTGCAAATGGAAAATTTAAATCCATATAGACACAAATATCGGAAAAAACATAAATAATTGAGTGTTTAATAAGGCAGATTCATTTTAATAAGCAAGTGTTAAACGCTGTTTACGTTTTAAGGTGTCACCTTCGATTTCCAAGTATGATTCCCAGCCGGTGTATATAAATATTCAAAATGAACTTTCTATAATGTCTTCTCTCAATGTTTACCTTATTTATAGGTGTAACGGTGTGCCATGCCACCGTTTGTTTTCCTAGGTTTCAGTATGCAAACTTTTTGTTTTGAAATTCAACATCATTTCATTTTATTATTCGTCTTTCGTAATTTAAAATTTTGACTAATCAATTATACTCTTTATGGATGTCAGTTCGTAAGAAATTCTCCTATGCACAAGATGAAATTATAATACAATACAATATTAATGGTATAAATTTTACTATGTAATTTTAAAATAATTCATTTATTGTGATAAATAATGTGATATGGTGATACAAATTATATAACATATGTAACTACTAAATTGTAATATGTATTTTGGACGATCCAAAAGTTAACTAGAAGCCCGACAAGGGGTATGTATTCGTTTATTTGATAAGTATGTATTAGTTAAGTAACTTACGAACTGTTTTTATAAATTTATTTTTGTTTGTTACAATTTTTTTCTTATTACCCTTATTTAACTAATAAATATATTCTCAAGCTAAGCAGCCTTATTAATTGACCCAAGCACCGAACCCGTAACATAGGTTTCCATAACCTTCTTTATTATAGATTTCCATAAGAAAAACCTGTAATCAATGTATTTAAGTAATTACGTAATGTCGACTAATATATTTCAGACTGAAGAAAGAACTGCAGAGGTTGCAGTGTGCTGTCCGGGTTACAAGATGAAAGACGTATCGTGTGTTCCCATTTGCCCCAACGGGAAAACTGGCTCTGGATGCTCGGAGGGTAAGCCGACTTTTTCAATGAATTCATTGTTACGTTATGATGGAAAGTGTTGTATGTAACCATTTAAACATTAGTCAAAAAAGCACAAAGGCAATTCAATTTGCAAATTACAAATCCATTCATTAATAATTCTGTTTTTTTTATGCAAAAAGTTTTTTTAAAGACTTTTACCAATTTTTATAAACAGATATTACAAAAATTACACCAATATTTCTTTTTATTTTTTATTTTGTAATATAGTATATAGATATTTACGCATAAAATGTACATATAACAAATACATAAAATATAATACAAACTTTACGTAATAATTTGCTATCGCAAATAAATAGATCCATCAATTATATGGCATTAGAGATAGAGAGATCTGCCAGTTTCGTTACTATCTACCCCGGATTGGTCAGACGGTTTACATTAACTTTTTCTAGGAAACATACTCGAACAATAGCTTTAATATTTTAAATTATAAAATTAACAAATCATTTTTTACTTTTATTTCCGTGGTTTGATGGAGAGATAAAATTTTTTCAGATTGTCCGCCGAATAGATGGGGTCCAAACTGTATAAAAGAATGCAAGCACTGTTCCCATGGCGTGTGCTCCCCCATCACCGGCGAGTGTAACTGCCAAGAAGGATGGCAAGGTGAGAGGTGCGTCATCGATAACTTTTAAATTTAGACAGCATGAGATTTACTTATTGCCTTTCTAAGTAGATCATTTTGTTGGGACCACAAAAGCTCTTATCGGTAAAGAAAAGATACGGGATGATAAATGACATTGCCTCGGTATTCATTGAACCGCAAAAACATTCGAGCTTAGCGAAGGCACTTTGATCCTTGGGATAAATGGAAGGGTTAAGTGGATTTATGCTGAAACAAAGTGATGCCCTGAAATTTCGGAACTTATAAATAGGTTCTTTAAATATATGTTTATCGTTTAATTTTGTTATTCTATTATGATATCGAGGATATGACATAATATGTAATTTTCAAAAAATTAAGAAAATTTATTGATCTCACAAAAGTCACTCAATGAATAATTATTTTATAGATTGTGTCTAAGAATCTAAATCTGTTAACTTTATTTTACAGTTGTGAAATCATCATTACTACCAGTACAACTTCGACAACACCAGTGGAAAATTTACTAACCACTAAATATGCATCTACTAAAACCACTAGGCCTTCTAGCACAGAAGCTACGCTTATAACAACTCTAAAAAATATTGTACCTGTAACAATTCCTAGTATGTCGACGATGGCCACGACTCCTTTTCATATTTCAACCGCAATTACTGAAACCACATCACGAAGGGTGACACCATTGACAAGAATATCGCATAACAATTTTTCTTTATCGACGTCGCCAATGACAACATTAAACTTTTCCAGTAATTATAAAGATATATTTTCTACACCTGTGGAAAGGCCAACTCTATTGAAAACCAAAGAAATTGTAGACTTAAAAAGTACAAACATAATCAATAATTCAACAACAGAGCCTGTACAAACTATAAAAGGTACTTACATGACAATAAAAACAACTGGTATTACAACAACAAAGATAGATATGTCAAGTGAAATTGATAAAAAAGTTCAAATACCAGTCACAGAAACAAGGATAGTTGATGAGCCGACATCGAGAACATTTGAAGTCACTAAACGCCTACCGCCTAAAACTACACCAAAAATGGAATCTACTAGGAAACCTGATACTACAATAAAAGCTTTTCCCACTACTTTGAAGTTCAAACCAAAAGAAATATGGATACGGCCTGCGCAAAAAGGTGAAGCTCCAGTTACAGAAACTAAGATAAAAATAAATCATGACACGACTAATATTAAATATAAAAATGCGACTAAAGTAGAAATAGTACCAAACACAACACCAAAAACAATTATTGTTTCAATTATTCCTACATCAGTTTCTTATGCAACTTTTAAAAAGTTAGCATTAACTACAGCATCATATTTAAGTTTAAAAAACCACACTTTTGTGAAAACAAACAAGCCTGGAGAGGAATTTACAAAAGCAATGTCCATTCAAACGTCGACAGCAACTCCAATTACGAAAAACCAAGCAAAAACTAATTTGAACCATGTAATATTGACTTCAACTCCATCAGTAGTAAACGTATCGAAATCTCCGTCACATTCAACATTTTCAACTACAAGAAGAACATCAACAACAGTTTATGTTTTTGTAACTAATAGAACTAACAGCATGTCACGCACTTCGAATGTTGGCACGAAAAAGATGAACACTTTTAACCCATTTACTATGGCGACTGTTTCTATGACTAACTTTACTTCATTTACTCATAGACGTAACGCAGTTACAGAAAAACTGACAACCAAAACAACTAACATTCCTAAATATTTAGAACCAAGTACGTTAATTACTACCGAACATACTATCAAAACATCAGCTAATAAAAATTTACTTATAACAAAACGAAATGCAACAAAACTAAAAACTGATAGAACAGATGCAACAAAATTTAAGAACATTCTTCCAAATATAAATAACAATACTGTAAATGTAACGAATAATTCTGAAACTAATACAGTAACAACTGATCAACCAGAGGAAGATGAAGAGAAATTTCATATTTTGACAGAACCAGAACACATTACAGCTGTCATGAGTGACAAAGCAGCAGAAAGGTCATCCGTTGACTTAATATCAGTGATAAGTATAGCAGGTGGTGTCATGATGGCTGTCATCACAGTTGCTGTGGTGATCGTGATGATGGAGAGATGCAGGAGGCCAAGATACGATGACATAAGGAAGATAAATGATATCAGAATGCAAGTAATGATTGACAATAATGATATGCCACCACCGTACGTGAGAAGCATTTTTCACACACCCTTGCCAGGTTAGTGAGCAATAATATCAAGACTATAAAATATTAACTTTTCTAAATTAGTTTTATTCGTTTTGAACTATGTACTGTTGAAGCGTTACCTGCGTTGAGGGAACTTGTTGATCAACTGAATTATAGGACAGTAGCTGTTGTCCCGCGACTTTGCACGTGTAAATTAGATATACTGGCTGGAACAAGATAAAAAAATATGAAACATAAGAAAAAATACTGATTTGACTTGTCAATTTCATGCCTCCGAATGCATGTTATGTATTATACGCGTGCAAAGTCGACGAACAACAGCTACTTTCCTATAATTCAGTTTATTATCTAGTTCCCTTCAGTACACTTGGGCTGCTAAGACAAATCTAACGATACGTCAATTATCTAAATCCGTTTAGCGGTTCTGAAAACAATTGCTAATGAAGAATATTACATACATACATATAAGACGCGCGAAACACATAACCCTTACTTTGCAGTCGCGTAAAAACAATGTCGCGATGTCTGTACGCTGGGATCCTTTTTATAGATATGATATTTTATTTCAAAAATCTTTACTGCATCCATTCAAAAAGTTTTGGATTAATGTTCATCAATTTACTTAAAATTATTATATTCTTAATATTTACTGTATAATACATAATTTCGCCATAATCTTCATCGGCCCATTAGCTCAGTTGGTTAGAGCGTCGTGCTAATAACGCGAAGGTCGCGGGTTCGATCCCCTCATGGGCCACGATCGACTTTTTGTTATACTTTTTAAGTTTCATTTTATATATTTATTTACAGATCCACCTTCAGAAAAATGTCATTATCAACCGATTTCAACACTAGATCGTAATTTAAAACAATTCATGAGGCCGGTAGTCGTCCAAACAATATCACCAATTATGCTAGAAAACTTCAGAGGTAAATATAAAAAAATATATATTTTTAAAGATAGTGGCTAAAATAATAGTATTAAAATTTTTCTCTTTGTTTATTTAGGTATTCTAGAATGTCATTACGATCATTTACCACATAGAAGCCACGATTTCGAAACTACTCAAAAACGTAACTCTAAAGCGCCATCTATTGAAGTAACTGAACAACATCATCTACAAAGAGTGTCGCTTACAGAGTCTGCTATAGACGCTTTAAAATGTGAAGCTAAACTTGATGTTATCGATTCAACTACGTCGGAACCGTTGTATGCGGAAATTCCATGCTGGAGGCCACCCTCAGAGCATGCTGTTGAAATCATGAATGTAAACGGCGAAGCTGTTACGGAATTATGACCAAACAAGCGTTAACAAGACAAGTTTCTAGAATGAAATAGATGGCGTTGTATTTTGAACATATACAAAAAAATTGGTGTGAATAATTTTCGTAGTGGTCTCTTTATAAAATAGGTGTGCGTTTTCCAATCAAAGACTTTGCTTTTAAGGTATAACAATGTTTGTGTGCATATTATTAGTAAGTTATTAGTAAAATAATAATAATTAAAAAATATTATAGACAATGCTGTTTGAATGTCTCCACATAACGCCATTGTGTCAAATATAATTTTTCGAGTATTATGAGTTAATAGAAACCTGCATAATAAAATAGATTGATAAACTGTTTATTAATTATACATATACAGAGAAAGTTTGCAGTAAGGTAATTCTAGAAAGGGCAAAGAAGTTCTTGTTTTAACACCAAAAGCGATCTCTTCCAAATAAACCTTGAACTAAATAACATATTCCTAAATACAGATTGGTGCACAGTAATACTAAATATAATAATATAAATATATCAAACAAATATTCCTTACTTTTTATATACTAGTCAATAATGTTTAATAATGCACATAAAAAACAATTATGAATAGGTAGGTATCTGTTCGAGGTACATATCTTGTGGCTAAAATTTTCTTTTATTTAAAATTAAAGTATATATGAGTGGAAACTCTTCGAGACCTTGTTAGACTTATAAAAGAATCATTGCCCTAGGTATTTAATAATTGTTTACAGGTTTAACAGTGTTAAAGTACAGAGTATATTCTCAAACAAAGTACCTACATGGTAAGTGACTCAAATAAAGTGGGAAGATTACGGAAACCCATCAGTTTATCTTTACTTGCGCATGAATAGTAAGAGACACTTCAACGAATAATACAAATTTTATCAAATAATTTTAAAAAGAAAACTTAATCAAAGGTTATGAAACATATATATAAATAATAAAATCATACAGAGGGCTATACCGCGATCTTCTGTCTTCTAGTCGAGTGACTTCTTTGTATTATTGTGTTGTCTTTGACGAGTGAGGCCTTACATACTCAAATATAAAAGATCATTGGGTACGATACGACGACGGCCACGCGTTGTAGAGGAATATTCCAACCCGTTTGACACCCGCAATGTAAAGCTCTCACTGTTGCTTAGCAGTGCGGCCCTGCGATTCTATATAAATTCAGACCCGAATTCGAATTTACTCAGGTGTCCAAATTTACTTCAAAAAGCGTCATCCGCTCAATCTTGAATTGGCAATAACGTTTCTTGGCTTACGTGAAGTGAGTTTCGAAATGACAGGAACAGAATATCTGGGACCCGTATAATCGACCAATTTTGTTTTGTATTTTTATGAGTATGAATAAAATTGGAATCAATAGAATTTCTTTACTAAATGACGTGAATTAGGGCACATGAGTGAATTCGAATTCTGGTTCGGATTTTTAAGGAATCGCTCTCTTAATCTCAACGTCGAGTTCGAGACTGTTTTTGAATACCATAGTATATGGCTCGTGTAGATTAATTTACCGTTAATTATTACAGTATTGTTAATTTTATCATGTTGTTGTTATGTGCAAATTCTATAATAGATATAGATAAAGAGAGGCCAGTGCGTGGGCGCAGTCTGGCGGTGTTGTTATCAAATTTGCGACACATCCTTCACGCGCTCAACGGGTCTGTATTAGTACACGAAAACAATTATGTTTTTGATATTGATAAACTAATTTTGCAATAAAATAGTTTTAAAGTTATTTAAGTAAATAAGTACCTGGAGTGCGTGAAATTATAATTAAATAGACTTCAAACTAGTTAAAGGCTATCTCTATTAATTCCAAGATTTTATTTATTTATTAACAACAACATTTACTTCGACCATTACAGCTTATAGCCAATGCGATCTAGTAAACTTTAACAATTTTTTCTTATCTTAACTGAAGACCATACCTTATGTATTAATTATTAATTATATATATGAAATAAGCTTTATATAATATATATTGTTCTTAATTGATTTCATATGTACAAAAAAAATGCAGTTTTTGTAAACGCACTCAGAGCACAATAAAATATGTCAATTTCATTAGCTATCATATTAATGATGATAAACTTCCTAGTCCATCATACGGACCCAACGCGGATTAGTGGCATTAACGACAGCAGATACACCTGGAACCAACGGCTTAACGTGCCTTCCGAAACACATAGCAGCTCGAGATTATCAATTTCCGGTCACCCATCCCAAGACCGGCTTTAGCGAAAGTTACTTAACTTCCGAATCGCAAACCGAACGTGCTAACCTCTGCGCTATCGAGCTTCTCGTATTACACTTACGTCGTATTCTACGTTTTTATTATACCTAGGCCCTATTCTGTGAAATTTCCATCTCGAGGATAATTATTGCATTTTATTCGGTAAGTAACACCACAATTCGTAACTTGCTGTTACTTTTTACGTGGCGTTGACTGTAGTAACAAGAAAAATAACAAAAAAAGTTGTTATCAATGTTAATTGAATTCTCAATATCGACTCCATATAGTATACCTATACTTTTAAGATTAAGTATACATTACTCTTATAATTTAATAAAAATGTTTTTTATTTACAAAATACATGCAAAACAGTATTATCTCATCGGTGTTCCGATAACTATGACGACATCTTAGTTTAATAGAAACAGGGTACCGTACGATGTTATAAAAGCCTTTAGTTGGTTGAAATATAAGGAAAATGAATTTTTAATTAATTGTCATTTAATTTGTCTTAACCAGTTGGCTACCGTAGCATATCGTTTTCTACTTTTTTTTTTCAAATAGAACGAAAATTTTGACTTTAAATGTTCCCTAAAAATTAGCACACTTTAATACGTATGCATACAATTTTTAAATATTGTAGTGCAATTGAAAACAAAAGAAAAAAGAATCTAGTAAACGCCAATCAATCTGAATGAGACATACGCAAAGATTTAGACAATGATTTGTATGAGAACAAGAATCAACTTTAAACATACAGAGAAAGAGGACCTCTTTATATTGTTTTAATTTTAATTCACCTCCTTCGGCTCTGACTCGAATTAATCTTCTATTAGCTTATATGTGTTTTTTTATCAAACTGTTTACACACAGTGATAAATTAACTACTTTGAATGTAAGTATATTTTTTCAATACATTAAACATACCTTTTATTAATAATGTAACAATGTACAGAACCCTTACTCGAAAGCTCCGTTCTGTTAGTTATTTTATCACATCACTCCGTACAAATCAGAATCTCAGTGTTTGTTCAAACGTGAGCTCGGCTACTACATACGCAGGACGATAAATAAAAGTAAGTACCTATTTATTATATTATCAAGTGATCTTGAAAATATAAAGCGAGCTTTTTCTAAATAAAATTCATACAATGTTTAAATGGTATAACAATAATGTATAGGCAATTACAGGATATATTATATTTAATGAAACAACTTTTGAAAGCACAAGGTCTAGAAAGTCTATTGCCTACTCCAAAAATACTAACTTTTAACTGGTTTCGTAATGAAATAAAGCCTTTAATTCAAAAATAGAAAAATAAACCATATTTCTAAGGGTCACGATACGTGCAAAAAGCGAATTTATAATATTTTCTCGAAAGAAAAATCACACACTTCCATAATATTAACCATTTCTCCATTTTCTAATTTTGCCTAATTTAGAAAATTGGATAATAGTTTGAGAGTAATTAATTAAAGTTATTGTCAGGCAATTCGACATCCTCTGTGGTACGGTGTTTACCCCTTTGGTGTACGACTTCTCTTAACCCTGGCTCACGACCGAAAGTCGCGGGCGGTATTTGAAATACGATACAAAGCGGATATTTATTTTGGTTAATCCTATTATTTTATCAACATTGATAGATAAAAAAAACGCTAGGATAACTGCCTTTAAATGTACTTAGGTATATTGCAAAGGACCCGAAAAGCAAAATATAACACGCGCTTGAATGCATTCAATAGTTGTTTCATTAAAAAGATTAGTATGTATAAGGTTACAGTACCAAGTAGCTCGGTGACATAGTGCATAAGCGTCGCAGCCCGCGATCGTTGTTGTTAAGCAACTTTCACAAGGGTTGGTCACGAGATGGGTGACCAAAACAATTATTATCTCGAGCTATTCCGTGCTTAGGAATTCACGTTAAGCCGTTGGTCCCGGCTACATTTGCAGTCGCTAATACCTTCCAAACCGCATTAGGGCAGCGTGCAGGATCATGGCCCATCCTCCTTATCCATCCATAAGGAAGGCTTAAGACCTTGCAGTGGGGACGTAAAAGGACCGATAATGATGAATAAAAATTTAAGAAATATCTTGTCTTTTTATAATGGTGTTCCTTACATTTTTGTAAATAAAATATTATAGCTAACAATACAGTGAAAATATGTTTATATTTTTTAGTAAAAGTAGTAGGTAATATTTAGATATTTTATTCGATATATACCAATTACGCTATATATATGTCTCTATTTAATGCATATTATCATTAACATTATAATGATTATAAACAGACCAATAAACATTTTGTTTTAAATAAACTATGACCTATATAAATGAGACGCTACAATACGTCAGTTATGTGTAAAGATTTGTTTTCCTATCTTACATACCAAAGTGGAAATATTCCTAACTAAAATATTCACATAAAAACCTATTATGAACGAATAGTTTTTAGAAACAATAGACACGTATTTAAATGTTCCATTACCTCTTCGATGCAAACCAAACTTACTTCATTTTTTGTGCTAAAGTTTTTTTTGTGGATCTGTCGCATCCAAGTGGTATAATCAGCCGACCAATTGAACGACTAGATTCTTAATAATAATACAATTATACAAAGACTAGATATATCGCCATTCATACAGCAACAACGCCATCTATCAAAAGCAGAGTAAACAATGTATTTGACTGCGATTGTTTTATGTTTATTAACATAAAATGATAAATAACGAAGTTATTTTGGTCCTGTAGGTCACGTGATAGGTTAATTTTTTTAACAGATAACAATATTATATGAACGTCTTGGCGTCTTCTAAATCAGCTGTCTCGTTGAACGATCCAAATGTCATAATGATTCAACTAGAAAACTAGGTGTGCAATTTAATGGCGTCTTCAAATTAAATGGCTTGCCGTCCAATTGAACGGCTGTTTTACCCAGATTGCTGCGACAGATTTATTATATTCAATGACACAGTGATATGTTGTTGGAATAATAATGACATGTTATGACATAATACTGAGCTCGTAGCTCTGACTCGTATACTTAGTTGAAATTCTCATGTGAATAAGGTCAATGTCTATGAATCATACTAAATAAACACATTTAGACATAATAAGACACCTTTGTAGTGAACTATATTCTATAAATAAAGTTTGTTTATGATATAAATATAAGCGCTATATCTTTTTTAATATGAATTTCTCTAAACGATATCCAGCGATAAATCACAATTAATCAATTTCATTTCTAAACGTTTATACGTTTCAAAGCCTTTGTCGACTACTGAGTAGTCACTTGATTAAGACAGTTGTCGTCTTAAAATTATTTAAAGTATAGCAATAAAGTAAGACGATTGTTCATAGAGAACACTCGATAGAACTCTGATACACAATGGAGAGTATTTACTGGCTTATGAACACTACCGGGAATCGAACCTGCGACTCCCGCACTGTCCAATTTTTTTTTTTCTTATTTATGCTCTGATAGTGTTTTAAACAGCTTGTAGTAAAGTTGCGAACTTAACTTTAACGTGGCTATACTTACCTAAATATCTTCTAAAATTAATAAATTAAATTGTCAAGGTACATAGCTTCTTTAGTTTTCAAGAAACAACTTTTTGAAAATACTTAAATTAGTTTTCTTTGATGTTTTATGAACTTTGACAAATGTTTTTGTGTTAAACACTGATTTATCGAAAAGCAAAGGGACTTATATGCATACAGTCTACTTTCGTGTTTGTTTTTTAACAGAAAACAAAAATAAATAAAAGACGAAGTGTAACGGTTTTTAAGTTTTCTTACTTTCGTATATATCGTTAGCTTTATAAAATAAGGTCAAAATTTATTTATTTATTTATTAAACTTTATTGACCAATAAAGATGGTACAAAAGGCGGACTTAATGCTAATAGCATTCTCTGCCAGTCAACCTTTGGGAAAACAGACAAACGCGATGGCGGTACAGAGCAATAAAAATAAAAAACTACAACAACAAATACTAAACTAATCATGAACATACTACAACATACTTAAAATATAAATAACATTACACATAATTACATACATAAATAAATACACACACACACACACACACACACACACGCCAATACACAGATGATGATGACAATCTTCACAAGCCTTGAAACAGAAAGGAGTGAACTTTTTTTTTGAAAATGTTTTTATTTGGCGATCTTCTGATGGAATCGGGGAGGCTGTTCCACAGTCGAATTGAATGTAGTGTAAATGAGTTGGACATAAAGCCAGTGTGAAAAAGGGGAGTGGAAAGTGAGAGAGAGTTTGAAGAACGCAGGTGACGACCATGAGTGTCAGAGAGATATTGAAATTTACACTTTAAGTACTCTGGTGTATGAGGATTGGAAAGAATAGAGTAAAGTGTACAAAGCAACCGCAGATGCCTCCGCTGTCGAATAGGATTTTAGCTGAAACCGATAAGAGGAAACATGGTCGAACTTACGAAGACAGAAGATGAAACGGATAGCATTATTGATAAGGCGGTCCAACTTATTAAGAAGATCTTCATTTAAATCAGGATAACAGACATCGCATAGTCAATGAGTGGAAGAACAAGAGAAGTGGCAAGAGTGACCTTCGTCTTGATAGGAAGAAAGTTCCTGAGACGGTTGAGGGAACGTAGAGTGTAGGTAACTGTTCGACTCAATTCGGCGATTTGCGTGGTCCATTTGAACTCGGAGTCGATGTGGAGGCCAAGGTTTTTAACACTGGGGCTAAAAGGTATAATTGAGTTCTCGAACGCAACAGACGGGAGCAGGCTGATATCGAGCTTAGAGATCTGTTTCGAGCCACCCACAATAATTGCCTGGCATTTTAAGGGATTTACAGTAATCCCAAAATTAGCTGACCATGCACTGATATTACATAGGGCTCCATTCAGTTCAGAGATCCCTGCACCAACCTCTTCAACGGTCTTCTGCACATAAATTTGAAGGTCGTCTGCATAAAAATGATAAGAACAGCCAAGAGAGAAAGAGAGAAAATTTATAAAAATGGAAAATAGGAGAGGGGACAAAATACCACCCTGAGGAACACCAGCAGTCACATTTTTCCAACCGGACATATCACGACCCCCACGCACAGCTTGCTGACGACCACGAAGATAATTTGTGAACCAATCCAATGTCAAAGCCGAGAGATTGAGCGATTTCAGAATAGCCAATAAGAGATCGTGGTCAACCATATTTAATGCGTTAGAAAAATCGATAAGAACAAGAATGGTGACCAGCTGTGTCTCCATGCCCACTCTGATATCCTCAGTGACTTTAAGGAGTGCAGTCGTGGTGCTACGAAAGCCGGATTGCAATGGAGTGAGTACGGATGTTGAGAAAATAAACGTAAAGTTATCTTTATCTTTTTTCTTTTTAATAAATAAATATTAAACAACATCACACACATTGCTCAGATTCCAAGATGTGTAGCTAAAGTACTCGTATTATGGAGTATCTGAGACAACGGACACAACCCCCAGACCCGAGACAATATAGAAAAGTTCATTTTCTACATTGACCCGACCAGGAATCGAACCCGGGACCTCAGAGATGGCGACACCTTGAAACCGGCGTGCGAACCACTCGGCTATGGAGGTGGTCAATTTTAACTATGCTTCTCTTATCTTTGGTGTATGGTGGGGAAGGTAACCCCTAACTCTTTTTAATGAGAGGTAAAAAATGTCCTGGCGAATATTATATGTGAAGTGTACATTCAAAATGCTATATTGATATTTAGGTTTAAAAACAATGCTCATAAATTTTCTTTAAGAAGAATATGTTCTGAAGAAATTATTATGCTTAAATTTTAAGATGTAATGCTCTCATTATGAAAAAAAGTTCACAAGCCGGCCTGCGTCCACCATATTGGAATTATAAGAAAATTAGGTTTTTACAATGATCTTCTCTATCGAATGAAACTGTTAGATCTTCTTCTAACAGTTTCATTCGATATCAATGCTATGACAATGTTTAAAGATAACAGTCCACCATCTTCGATGATCCGCCATATTGGATTTAGGATGAAGAAATTTTCTTTTTTTTTCTTAGCCAATATAACGTCTTATCAAACTTAGATTGATATAACATTAAGTAGCATTTAGGGCGTCCCTCATAAAGATTTAAAATAATATCACTGAGCTAACTGTGCATTGCCATCTAGACTAAATATGTGTGAAGTTTCAACTTAACCGATTGAGAATGATGCTTTCAAATTCAGTTGCAAGATTTGAAGAGACATACATTGCGATATAATTAGAACACTTATTGCGAATGGAATCTGTTTATATTCACGTAATCTTGAAATAAAAGACACACCCATAATTAAAACTGGTTTAATTTGTAGGTCTTTTAATATAAATGATAAAAAAAACTAAATAATAAAAGACAGTGAACGACTATTTTTACAACGTTGCGCAGGTATATTAAAGATTGTTTTAAAGTTGCAGTATTTTAAATAATTGTTTTTATACATATATCTACATTACTCGTTCATTCATTCATTCAATACAGTATCAGTTAGCCATTTTTCCGTTCATTCTATCGTTCGTACATATTCTGTCTTCATTTGATTTAATGTTTAATCGTAGATATTATCAATTTTAATAATATATTCATCCGGCTCGAAGGACCAAATATAGTTGTCTTGCACCTGACCCTTGAGTAATATCATGCTTCCCTCAGATTTTCCTATCTTATACTGAGCTATCGATAATATATTTGGTCCTCTTCCCCAACCTCTGTCCTCGAACACTTTTTTTAAACTGGACCAAGCTTCTTTTGCTGTTTTAATATTATACACGTGTGTAAAACATTCGGACTCTAATAGTAAACATATAGTCGTCCTCGCTTTTCTATCAGTATCTTTGTCCTCTATGTATTTTTTAACAACATACCACCAGTTCCTGTTTTCTAGGTAGTTTTTAACCTTAAACTTTCAGTTTGGATAATCTGAAGTACTTCTCAGCTTTTTTATTCCACTGACTCCGTTCGGCACTTCTTCCGACATTTTTACTTTTTAACTAGAAAATTCATGACTTTGTATTTTCAAAATCTTATTTGAACGCCCATAACCTATTAATTTTAATAATATATTCATAAGATTTGAATACAACATTTACATCGGTTATTCTTTTGACAGTAATACAAAAAGCCGTCAATGTAGCAGATTATATTTTAAAGCAGCCAGCATACAACCTCCAATAGATATATTTATATTATATGCAAAGCTACGTCCTGATTTCAATAAAATGCTACGCTTTTTGTCGCGTCTTTTGTATATGGGATTGCTTCTCTAGTTATTAAACTCATTGCATTGTAAAATGAAGTATTCAGTGAGACAAAAAGGTTTGGATATGAGGAACAAGATCACAAACATAGAGGACGGTCCAGGACGGTGTCGATATTACTAACTACATCGCTCATTGTTATTGCTAGTATGTTCTAATCTAAAGGGTCCACATAATTTAAGACTCCCATTCAAGACAAGTCTTGCATGTCAGGATGATATTGAACTTCAGAATCACATCTGTACATCATATTTCATAATATAATTTACTAATAGGTAATATTTATTTATATTTAAAAATTACAGTATCTTCAAAATGCGTGCACTTGTGTTCGCTGTACTTCTGGCGAGCACGTATGCTAATGACACCCAATATGTGAAGTCAGTGAAAGGGGGCCAAAACGGTTATCAGTACAGAGGAGGAGACATCAGCAGGTACAACTAACCTGGTTTTATAACACATAGAAAATGCATCTTAAGCCTTAACCTCCACTACAGTCTAAACTCTAAGGCAATTGCACTAGTATTTTTGCTTAAATTTAATTACAACCTCAAGTACCTATAGAAACATCATGAAATATCAGAAACTTTTTGAAAATCTATCCTAATTTATTAGATATCTGGAAACAGACGTTACTTTGCAAAGGTCCGTTACGTTAATTGAACATATGTTGGTGAACATAAGTTATTATACTTTACAGATTTTATGGCATGAATAACACACAGACAGCCTCCGGCTTAAGTCATGGACAGACAATTAATTTTGAAGTCGGTGTATGTTATATAGAAGTACCGTGAGTATTAATTTAATTTTAAAAAATAGAATACGTTTACGTATCAATTTAATTATATAACCTCGGTCGTTCAAAGATCTAACTTGTTTTACATTAAATTTATAGCACAGCCAGTTTGGTTAGAGATCCATCGCATATTCCAGCCGGAAATGGAGTAAGTATTTTTCGTCTTTTCAGAGTCAGAATACCCACCTCTCTAACTTAGTATAGATTAGTGTGTTGATAGACGACTAGATGCAGATGGACCGACGGCCTAATATGCCAATATTTGATCACTCAACCTATGACTAGCTCTTGCAATAGTTGTCTAACCACCGCAATGTAGGGCAGTAGACAGGACCAAATTTAGAACATACCTCCATCCCTTCCCACATGTTGCCAACTTCGTATAACCTAGGATCCTTCAAAGGAGGTGTGAAGACGTAGTTTGGCAGACTAGCAAGATAATGATAACGGTCGGGAGTAGCTTCGACATCTTGAATATATTATTATTAGACTGTAATAGCTACTTTCCATTAGGTTAATGCCGTTAATCAAATAATATTTTAATCATAATAGTTATTGACTGAAAAATTAATTGCAATTCATTTCGTTTTCTTTCCTTTTTCTCTTTTCTTTATTTTCTTCTTTCTATCCTTCTTTACTTCCTCCTTTCTTTATTTCTATATTACCAAATTTCTTTCTCTCTTTCTTTTCCCTCTTTACGCTCTCTTTTCTATCTTTTCTTTATTCTCTTTCTCTAAAATGTCACAATAAACATTATTCAATTGTTAATTGTTTGTCGCAATAAAATTTTATTCAAATTTAAGCATCGTTAAAGATATAACATAAGATATAGGCACCCTACGAACAGGGTTGGACTTCCATGAGCTGATGATCTCGCAAAATCAACAGGAAGCCTTTGGTTCTAGGCCGCGTTAAATCAATCTTTCTGGGAGTTAGGCTATTTACTCATGGCTCGATGCAATGCAATTGGAAACCGATGAGCCATATTGCGTTGTACAGGGCGGTATAATGACAATATTTTCTTTACACGTTACTAAACAAGTGAAAGAAAAAAAAGGTAAGAACGGATATAAAATTAAACTGCGATTAAATTTTCAATAAATTACTAATATGATTAAAATATTAATTAATTAACGCCCTACACTGATGGAAAGTAGCTATTACAGTAGATGATAGTCTAAAAATATTCAATAAGTCGAAATTACTCCCGACCGTCATCACTATCTTGCCTGTCTTTAAACTTTAAAACTTTCAAGCGTAGAGCATATTCGTCCCTCAAAGGCCGGCAGCGCGCTTGTAGCCCCTCTGGTGTTGCAAGCGTCCATGGGCGACGGTAATTACTTACCATCAGATGATCCGTCTGCTCGTCTACCCCCAATCCCATAAAAAAAACAGCGTCATCACACCTCTTTTGATGGATCCTAGGTTATATGAAGTTAGAAATATGTAGGAAACGATGTTGTTCAAAATTTTGCCCTTCTACTGTCTATAAAACTTAATTGCAATAAATTTTGCCCAACACTGCTTTTTATCAGGTGTAACTAAAGTCACTTTGTCGTGTCACAATAATAAAAAAAATTAAACGCACTAACCACTGCGTCATCCAACTCCATATTTTCAATTAATTTTCTTATCTTTCAACTACAATTTCTATTCAATGCTGATCCTTTATAAAAGTACAATTTTCAGTCAAGACCCGATCTTAGCCGCATCAGGACATGCTGCAAAGGCTATCAGAGGAACGTTTACAATTTCCGCATCTGCGATCCAGTCTGTTCCAAAGGCTGCGTAAACGCCCTCTGCACTGCTCCAGAAACCTGTACATGCTACCCAGACCACGTCAAGAATCTGGCGGGCTTCTGTGTAGCCACTTGCCCTATCGGATGCCAAAACGGTCATTGTTCAGGCGGTGAATGTCTCTGTAATGAAGGCTACAAACTGGACATTGACAGCAAGTTCTGTATGCCTAGCTGTGCAGCAGAATGCGATCGGATTGGTAAAATCTTTTACTTAACTTATTCAATGAATTATAGTTTTGTTTGCACGGTGTTGGGTGTAGTAATGCTTGCAAGTTTTAATATGGTGCTATACTTTACTTTTCTATTTTTATAGATGATCAACTTTTAATTTGGTTTTATACCAAAATTAATGTCCATATAAATTATAATTAAAAATGAGAAAACTATATCATATTTGTCAAGCTTTCACAGTCAAAATGAGAATGTATAAAGAATTTATACAATAAATTACTGAGTTACACCTGAAACTAAACATTTCATTCATTTGCTATTGTATTTGTTTATTTTGTAGATGGAATGAATTTTTGAATCAGTCAAGCTTAAGAAACAAATAAGCAAACACACATACGTATTTTTTAATTAATAAAGTAGCATATCATGCAATTATTTACCCACTATACCATTAATTATTTATTATATGCAAAATAAAAGTAATCAAGAGGTTTTAATCCTATCAAATGTGCATTTCAGGAAATTGTACAGCTCCACACACTTGTGAATGCAAGCACGGAGACACGCATCCGGTTTGCGGTTCAAATCCTAAAGTACCAGGAAACGTACAACCTTCATTTCCAAAACCGAATTATCCTCAGTATGGCAACAATAGACCCAATCCGGGCGACACTGTTTATTACAATCCTAATCAAGCTCCAAATTTACCTTTGTATCCTTATAACCAACATAAAAATGATACCCTGATTCCGAACCAAAACTCATCTCCAACACCAACTCCCTTCCCACATGGCCAGCCTAATACTCCTAGCTCTTCAAATCTAGGTCCAAATCCGCATCAACCCAACCAAGGACAAATTCCCCAATATGGACAACACCCACCATATTCGACGTATCCAATCACCCAAAATATTACAAATCCGTATAATTACCCCTTATATCCAAATAATCAAATAACTCCAAATTCTAATAATGCACAACTCCCACAAAACCCCACAAATCCGTTTTCACAAAACTCTAATGGACCCACTCAAGGACCATACTACCCTCCCGTTCAAGCGCTGAACGTTTCTATTTCCCCTCAATACCCTCTTTATCCGGGTAATCAAATGGGTCTTAATAACAATCCAAATCAGAACGGTAATAATCCGAATTACCCTTCAAGCAATCAAGGTCCTCATAACATGTATCCTTACAACCAAGGAGGTTATCCTTATCCTCAAGGGTCAAACCAACCTCATCAACCAGGGTACCATTATAATCAAAATCTACATCCTAATCCTTATCCACAGCCTGATATACAAAATACACCTTATGGACAAAACTCATATGGTAGTAATTCCTTTAACCAGAATTCATATGACCAAACTGAAGATATGTCAACATGTTCTGGGCCCTGTACCAATGGATTTTGTGCAGAAAATAATCAATGCAAATGCAATCCTGGATATGTTGTGGACGAGGATGATACAACCGGTAGAAGGTATGTCTGTTACTAATTTTCACGACTTACTAATTTCAGAATTCTTAAAATTAGTACTTTCACAAAAATCTTTTATCATTATTTTAGGAGACAGTATAAATAATTATTTCCTTGTCCATTATATCCATTTATCCTACTAACACAATAAACTTGTCCTGGTAACTTCTGAAACATATCTGGAAAAAAATCACATATAATTTTCTGTTGTAGCTTTTTCAATCGTTTTTGTAAAACATTTTGTTCAGGTGTCGACCACATTGCCCCGGCGGGTGCCCTAATGGATACTGTGCAGCGCCTTATTCCTGCGTATGTAACGAAGGTTATCATAAGGATACCAGCGTCAAAGGTCGCCCACTCTGCATAAAAAGAATCCGAAGATCGGCTGACAAGGAGAAACCTGTAAATGTTGCAGAGCTTCTGATTTTTGAAATCCCAGATTACAGCGAACAATAGACTATTAGATTTACATTAAATAATGTGCCATGTTAATTAAAAAGAATTGCGATTTTATTTATTACTCAGATTTGCTTTACTTCTTTACAAAAACAGTTGCCGTTATTGAATAAATATAAACCCAATCCTCTATTTTACTTAAAATCAATTATTAAAAGCGAACATAAAGTAAATTGCTAACATTTTTATTTCACACCAAAAACATTTGCGTGTAAATTACCGCCAAATCGAGACCATATGAATCACACTGTCAAAAAGATATCAGATCTGGTGTCTTCTCTACATGGCCTTACAACTTATTTTACAAACTCTACTGCTTACTCAAAACATGTGACTCGGCCGATTTGCCAGCGTCAAATAGGCAGAAGATGAAAAATTTATACACCGTTCATTGTTTTTCTTTTAAACCATAGTTCTTTCTTGTAGAATCAAAACGGCCAAGTCACATGTGTTGAATAAGGGAAGAGCTTATGCAGTTAGGGCTTGTAGACTTAGAAGCTCTCTACGGCCTACACGAAATCTGATAACACTTTACATGTAATTGTTTTGGTGGGATTCTATTATTCTATTTACTATGTATTCCGCGAGTAAAGATGGGTTTCCGTGATCTTCCCTCTATTTTTATCGCATTAAATTTTATCCTCTTAAGACAAAAGCTATTATAGTTGGCAACTCCACATTGACCAATAAGATTAATTATGCACAGCTACCAGCCATCATATTCGACGGTGTTCAGATTACTCTTTGTGAGAGTGTTAAAAATTTGGGGATATTGATTGATACAAATCTTACTTGGGGATTTCAAATGGAAGAATTGAGTCGTAAGTTGTTTGCTGCAGCAGGTTCCTTAAAAAGACTTAGAAATTTTCTTCCATTGGCCACTTAAATTGCGCTGGCACAGTCTGTACTCCTCCCAATCTTAGATTATGCCGATGTCAGCTATCTAGACCTTACCGAAGAGCAGTTAAATAAACTTGAGAGACTTCAAAATGTTTGTATTAGATTTATATTTGGTTTACGCAAATATGATCATGTTTCCGATTTCCGTGCTAAGCTCAAGTGGCTGCCAATTCGTCTTCGCCGGAATGCACATATTGTTTCCCTTCTTTACAGTATTCTGTTCAATCCTTATTCACCGGTTTATCTTTCGGAACGTTTTAAATTCCTTCACAACACGCACGTTAGAGTTTTGAGGTCATCGGAGAATTTGAAGTTATCAATACCAATGCATGCAAGTAAATTCATGAATAAATCATTTTCAGTCCAAGCGGCCTGTCTTTGGAATGCATTGCCAGAGGTTATCAGACGCGCACAAAGCATACACGTTTTTAAAAGACTGGTTAAAGAGTACTATCTATCACTCACCTTGAATCCTTAATCTCGTTTATCTATGTAGGTATATGCTATATGTATGTATATTATATGTATGTATGATTTATTGTTTTTGTGGTATTTATTACTTAATTCATTTATTAAATATATGTATATATATATATTTTTTCTCTACTAAAGTTTTGAGACACCATAAGCTACCTAAATTTAGATTCAATTTTTTTTTCCTGTACGCAAAGGTTGCCTGGAAGAAATTACTTTTTAGTAATAAGGCCGCCAATTGTGCATTAAATTTAATTGTATTCGATTGTTTTGTCCTGTATTGGTGTACAATAAAGCATATTTCATTCATTCATTCATTCATTCATTCATTCATTCATTCTCTTACAGGGTGCCATATTTTCCCTATTCTAGTAGATGTAAGAGAGATGTGGGCGAGATAATAAATGTGCTATACATATAGTTTAACTTATGTACCGTAATCAGCTATGCTAGTAATAAAAAACAGCCGTATGTAACAAAAACTGACTATGAGGTCACTTTTCAGTTGCACAATACCCAATTGCATCTTGCTAACTTAAAAGACGTAAATTTTCATGAAATCCCTTGAATATCTGCTCTTATTTTAGGCAAATTAAACTTTTAGCATTGGCATTTTAAAAGAATCAAAATGTTAATGCTGTATAAGAAATAACAATAGGGATGATTCATTTTGACTGTCCGTCAGGTATATTTTTACATTGTACCTTTTGTACATAGTTATGACATAACGAGCTCCCACTCCTCAACTTTATTGCCTATTATCTAAGTCATTTCGTGTTAAATTGAAGCAACATAACTTATACTTTTCTATTATCTGACACTGATGGACTAAATATAATTTTGTTTTTTTTTTACCCAGGCGTCATCCCTATGTAACTTATATATCAATAACTACCTGAATATTCACTTTGACTTGTTTTCTTTTAAGGGTCTCTGTGAGTCTATTAAGGTGGTTAATTTGATATAGTAATTTTCAAATAAGCAAGCAAAATTAATTATTTTTTCTTAATATTAGACTTCGAAATGGTCTCGACTTACATAAAAATGTTTTGATGGGATAATGATTTCCTAGTAACATTACTTATGCAAGGGTATTTTTTAAATATCAATAAATTTATTACTCAATAAAAATCGATTTACTGCTTTTTAATATTCTGATTTCTTATAAAAATCTATGCTTAAAGATAAACCTAATATTAGTGTCTAATATTGTCTTTGGTATAAAGCTCATTATCAATAACACCTTTTGCCGCTGCTTTTATTCAGTGAGGTCACTTAAAGCCAATTCGTACTTGGTGCTTGAGCATTCATTGAGGAGTTCAAAGCTATTTTCTGATACATCTATATCACCTGTGGGAACTGGAAATAAAAATAGTAAACGATATAAAATAATCACATAAGTAGGTATAGGAATAAGAAGTACGATATTAAGGCCTATTCTATTTCTCTTAAAACGAAATTTCGTCTATGTGCAAAAATGCGACCCCAAAATGCTATAATTTATGATACAAACACTACACCTGATACACGGATAATCTTCGCGGGTATGATTTTTACCAAATTTTTTGAACAATCGGAAATTTTTCGTTTTCATTCGAAGACAAATAAAACAGTTTCATTCAAAAGCAAAGACAAACAGGCCCTCCGGTGATATGTTTATTCGTACGAAGTATAAAACAAATGTAAAGGCTTTGAAAGGACCCAAAAACGAATTACTCGTAATAAAAGTTTTTCGATAGAAAAAATTAAAAAGTTCCCTTTTTGCTATTTTTTCCATTTCTTCTCGTTGTCATAATATTTTATTATTATAGGGTAAAATTAATAAATAGTATAAGTATAAAATATTTACAGAAATCGTTATATATAGGTCCTGTAGATTTGGAGGATATTTGATCTGAAGGACGGACAGATAAATATACACTCGAATATAAAGGTAATATTTTTAGAGATTCAATGGGCTGTTTTAGTTTACTGTACTTACTTTCTGACTTAAAATACCTTCTCTCGAAGCTCATGAATAACCAATGTCGTTTTATATACAAAACAACAATTACAATCACAATCAGTAGTAACGTTACTACAACATATAAGATCCAGTAGTAATTCGACCTGTAAGCAGACAATAAAGATCAAAATCAAAAAGTCGCTTATATTATAACATACTATAGCTCAAATTGCTTATTTTGTTCTAATAACTTACATTTGTTTGTTATCTGTTATTGTAACCACTGAGTCATTGGATAACCCCATTAAAGGATCAATTGTTGCTATATTAGTAGATGGTACGTATAAATCTGGATTTGTATATAAAGTTGTGTATATTTCATGATTAGTACTACTAATGCTATTTAAATCAGTATTTTCAAATGAAGTTGTTCGTTCTTCAGTGGTAAGATTATCTTTGGGAAAAGATTCATTTTCCTGCTCATTCCAAAGATGAGTATTAGTTATATCGGATACAGTTTTAAAATCTGCTTCAAGAACACAAATAGTTTTATTACATATTTCTTTTGTGTTATTTGTATATCCACAATTACTTTTATCATCTGACACAATTTTCATTCGATAAGGCGACGCACAATTGCAGATATTCGGCGCAACACAATTACCTTCACAGTTAATACATTTCGGCAGGCAAGAATAACCTCCTAAATTACCACTTGCTTCATATCCCAAGTTACATTTACAAGAATTAGGACCAATGCAAGTTCCATTGGCACATCCACTATCACAAATTGGGTCACAGGTATTTCTGTCCGATATTTTATAACCTGAATTACATCTACATATATTTGGACTAACACATAAACCATTCGCACATCCTTGGGGGCAATAAGGTTCACATGTGTTTTGGGTAGACATTTTGTACCCAGGCATACATGTGCAGGTATCAGGACCTGTGCAAGTTCCATTAGGACAACCACTGACACAGTAAAAAATATCACAAATATTATCACTTGACATTCTGTACCCTGATTTACAACTACATGTTTTAGGACTAACGCAAATGCCATTCAAACATCCATTAGGGCAATGTGGATCACATGTTTTCTTGCTTGACATTTCATATCCTGGTTTGCATGTGCAGGTATTAGGGCCCGTACAGATACCGTTAGGGCAGCCACTTGGGCAATACGGATCACATGTTTTCTTGCTTGACATTTCATATCCTGGTTTGCATGTGCAGGTATTAGGGCTCGTACAGGTACCGTTAGGGCAACCACTTGGGCAATACGGATCACATGTTTTCTTGCTTGACATTTTATATCCTGGTTTACATGTACAAATATTAGGGCTCGTACAGGCACCGTTAGGGCAACCACTTGGGCAATACGGATCGCATGTTTTTTTGCTTGACAGTTTATATCCTGATTTACATGTACAAACATTAGGGCTTGTACAAGCACCGTTAGGGCAACCACTTGGGCAATACGGATCACATGTTTTCTTGCTTGAAATTTTATATCCTGATTTACATGTACAGGTATTAGGACTCGTACAGGTACCATTAGGGCAACCACTTGGACAAAACGGATCACATGTTTTCTTGCTAGATATTTTATATCCTGATTTACATGTACAAATATTAGGGCTCGTACAGACACCATTGGGGCAACCACTTAGGCAATACGGATCGCATGTGTTTTTGCTTGACAGTTTATATCCTGATTTACATGTACAAACATTAGGGGTAGTACAAGCACCGTTAGGGCAACCACTTGGGCAATAAGGATCACATGTTTTC